AGGAAACCTTCACGAACACTGGAAGAATATGCAAACTCCTCACACAAATGCCAACTGACCCAGCCGAGGCTCGAACCAGCGACCTTCTTGCTGTAAGGTGACAGCACTACCCACTGCGTCATCCTAATATAAAGAATATCAAGCATTATAAAATGCATCTATCACAGCATATACTAAACAGAAAACAACATACGCACCGGAGCACAGCGAAATGTTGAAGTGTCTCGCTTAACAAGGCTGGCAACATGAGAAGTGCTGCTGTAAAATCAATTCCTGGAACATAAGATGTGGCATACAAACAAATATGAATGAATCCATCCAAAGCTAGAATTTAATAATATTAATCAAGTGGGGAAAGTTTAGAAAGAGTACCTTAGAGTCAGGTCCATAGCATTCTTCAGTTGATCTCTTATCTTTCGATGAAAACCTAGAAAATAATTTTAAACATGTGGGTGTACATTTATTGTTGTTTGTAAGTAAAAACCTACAAATTTAAAATAGAATGTAAGCCATTAAAACCATGGTATAGATAATGAGACATACTTACATCTTGTAACTGAGCCATGCTTTCATATGACATGCATTCATTGGTCTGATGCTGTTAGGCTGCATTCTGTTGTTCAATCTTGTCCTGAAATACAATTGGAAACTTCAAAAACTTCTGGAAAGCAATAAGATAAAGCAATAACTATTTACTTATTTTGAGATATTAATAAAATAGGTAAAATAGCTCAAGGTACCAGTTTCAGAACGTATAAAAGTATAACTTAAAACGTCGATTTATACAACATGGTATGTTAATAATTCTACATTAACATAAGTATAACGTTAAACGATAGTAAAGCACCAACAATTCTGGACATGAGAGTTTGTGGACACTCCTCAACATTAATGTAACTTAGACACTGAAACGAAGATATGTACAAGCATACCCACGCCACGTTTGTAACTAGCCACGTTTACATAATCAGTCGCTTTGTCGGTGACAAAATTGTGATTTTTCTTCACAAAATGGCGGTGTAACTTATATAACCGTCTAAAATTACATTTCAGCGGTCAACCGTGGCTAGAAAAATGGCCTCAAAATATAAAACATTATCGATAATTACAAATTTCCAGTATTAATAACAAAAGGTTTTATATCAAGGTATATGAAGACTTTAGTCGCGCGAGCTCCGTGCCACACCGCACATTACTCACGGCCCGATTCCGGTGCACGGATACGGCAGCGTCGGCTCGCTTCTGCCGCCGCAACTGGACCGAGTGTATTTTGCTATTTGGGTTGCGATTATATTCCGCCGTGGCAACACTTATTAATAAAGCAGTAACGTAACGTAAGATATAAGGCGCGAATACGTAACGTAGGCGATAAAGGGAACTTTTACACCGAGAAAACTAACAGCATATAGTACTCACCGTCTATAACGTTATGTCCCTCGGTGACTTCGATATCACATTGTATTAACTTCTTTAATAAGCTGCAGACATCTTAGCAAACTCCATCCTGCAGGCCAACGTACACCAGCCAGCCCGGAACACTTAAAGCGGGGGAAAGCCGAGACCCGAGAGTCAGACAAAATCAACAGAACACGGCTTCACATGTAAAAATGAGACTGAAAATATATCTTTAATACATTCTTACCTGAAAAGTGTGGACTCCAAAATAGATTTTTCTTTGAAAAGCGTGCGAAGTTCTGTGTAAACAGCCAGCATACTCTACCGACCGCCTCAGTAACAAACACTACTATAACGTCTCAACCAACAAGCCAAATTCTTAAAGAGACAGCAACATCACCACCTGTATGAAGATGCTGTCACTCTGCATGGTTCTTATTCTACATCCCATAAACTATATGGTCTTAAACAGTAAGCAAAGACCAGTATTTACGTTTTTAAATTATTAAAATTACATTCAATTATAAATTAAATTATTAACATTTTTGAGTAAAAATGTAATTTAAATACATGAAAAAAATTTAATTATTAAAATATTTAATTCAATCAATTAATTTATTTATTATATTTTTAAATTATGTATTTTAGTATTAATGTTTAATATTAATACATTTAAATTAGTGTTATATAGTGTCTTGATCTTATCATGAGCTGAGGGTACAATTTTGTTCCTATAGGGAAACAAAATATATAATTGTACCTTTAAAGGTGCCAAATTGGTCCTTTACGGTACAATTTTGTATCCAAATGTGCTATAAAAGGTACAAAAATGTACCTTTCAAACCTAAATCTGGACATTTGTACCTTTATAGCCCATTTGGGTACAAAATTGTACCCTAAGGACCAATATGGGACCTTTAAAGGTACAATTTTATATTTTGTTCCCTCTAGGAACAAAATTGTACCCTCATTGTACCTTTTTTTCTGAGAGTGTAGGAGAGCTAATAATTATGACTTAAACTGTATAGAATAATATAGAATCATAAGAGAGGGATAATTGACTCAGTTGGTTCAGTCATGAAGAGTTCAGATGCAAAAGCTGCTAAACGCCACTTCCGCCAAAAATGAGATAATGGCATTCAGTGAATGCTTTAGGCATATAGTACACCATCAACAAATAGATTAGCTTCAAATGATCCAGATCCCAACATCAGCGCATTCAGCAATAACAGTTTGTTGACAAAAGTCGCTAAACGCCACTTGCCTTTGACAGGAAAAGTGGCTATATCCCGAGAACCAATAAGAGCCAAAAATCAAATCATATGTTTTCAATGTAGCAGCGCACTGAAACGCCGGATTTTATAAGGAGACTGTTTTATTTCGCTTTCGATTTTAAAAGACTGAGTTAAAAGACTGAAAAATAAAACACAATGGGCTCTATTTTGACGGTCCATGCACAGAGCGCAAAACGCAGGGCGCAAATGCTTTCAGGGCGTGTCAGAACGCATTTTTCCTAATTTACGGACGGGAAAACCTGCTTTGCGCCAAGGCGCATGGTCTAAAAGGGTTGAGTTTATTTTCTTAATGAGTTATGGGTGTGTTTTGAGAATTAACCAATTAGAGTCTCATCTCCCATTTCCTTTAAGAGCCAGCTGTGTTGCGCTAAGAGCGCATTTGCTATTTACAGGACGCAAAGTAAGTCTAAGTGGAAAAAATTAGTATTTCACAAGCAAACAGTTAACAGTTGACAGTTTTTTTTTTACAGAAAACTGTTAAACAGAGCATCTACTGCGTGAGAATGAGAGATAATGGAACTACTTTCACTTTCGCTCTTGGATAGGGAAACCTTTACGCACAGACATCAATTAGCCTATGAATAAATACTTTTGTTTGTTAAGCGCAAAGATTTGTTTCAAAACTATTTCTAAACTCAGTTCTAATTTCCAGCAAACGAATAAATGAACAATAATGACCAAGTGTGGTCAAAATACTGAGTTATTTCCAAATACACCTGCCATGCCCCATATGGTCTAAAACCTGACAGGTGGGCAAATCTAAGCTTGTTTTTAATAAACAAATATAAATATGGATATATTAAATAATACTGCTAATAATAATAACATTATACAAAAGCAAATTGTTTTGAATGAACTGAAAAAGCCTCCTGAGATGAAGAAGACATAAAAGCAGTGGTTTTTCATATTTTTATTTAAGCTTGAAAATAATGTTTTGTAATATTTTAATCCTTTATATTTATATCCTATATCTATTCTTATTATATCCTATATATATATCCTTAATATTTAAATTTTTTCATATGTAAAGATATTTGCCTATTGCTCTCTTGTGCGTATTAAGCAATGCGTAAGCAAGGCGCAACTTTGTGCCGGAGTTTAGACTGGGTTTGTTTTGGTCTAATGAAAAATCTATTATAGTTTCTCAAAATAGCAACGCGCAAGCAGTGCGCCTCAGAACGCCTTCCTTTTTAGACCAGAACGCCTAAGGGTGCACAAATGAGCGCTAATGCATTTGCTATTTAAATTGCGTAGCGCAACGCCTCAAAACGACTCTTGCGCTAAGCTAAAACTACCAAAAGACTATTGCGCTGCGGAAGTGTAACATGCATTCATAACGTTTTTTTGCGCATACTTTACTATACATTAAATGGCAACTGCGTTTCACTAAAAACAGAGTTAGAATGCCGTTCTTTTATTCAACAAGGATGCTATGAGGATAAACAAGAGACCAATACCTTAAGTATGGTGCGAATGAATGAATGACAGCTTCTAAAATTGTCTGAGTGGCATCCCCTTTTTGCCCAATAGGCCTACCTTGTGTTTATTTGCTAATTTAAGCTATTTTTGTAAATAGATCAATATAATGTAGAAAACTATCCATGATTTATATAACTTCATTACACCTATAGATCTGATAAGCTTTTTATATTAATGGACAATGCACAGATATTGATGTTTAACAATGTTTTACACTACATTATTTGAATTTAACAAGCTTAGTTTACAATGTTTACATTGCTGTATACTTTAAATCTAACTCCCAGATATCAGAAATGACAACAGATTGTTAAAATTTAATTAATGTCAGTTTTAATGTTATTGATTAATGCACTCACTTGACAGATTTCATTCATTCATTTTCCTTCTGCTTTGTCCCTGGTTTATCAGGGGTTACCACAGCGGAATGAACCGCCACTTACTTGACAGTTATTTTTAATTGTATGTGTTTTATGTTTGGTAAAATAGTTTCTAATTTCATCTTTAGTGGTTTTCAACTAGTTACACTGTCTTGTCCCAATTGGTGGATTTAGAGGTTTTTGCAAAAAAAGCAGAAGTGGATTTAGCTGGTTTTGACGCATAAGAAAATCTACCTAGTTAAAAACCAAAGAAATGTCTGAAGTCACATTTATAAAAAAAAAAAGTACATTTATTTTCTAGCTAATAACCTTAACCTTTTCATTTGTTCTTATATACTGTATTGTATAATTAAATACTGGCTCATGTCTAGTGGAAATACAGTGCTGTTGTGCTAAAAGGGCATATAAAGCACAAAGGTATAATCCAGGCACTTAATATATTGGTGTGTAGGACACGTACCGCAGGAGGCAGATGCAGCGCTCCGTCACCAGACAGATGTCCTTTGACCTCACCAAGCTGCTGGTTACTGAAGACTGGTTTAGCGACATCAGCCCTCAGACCATGAGGAGACTGCTCAACATAGTGTCAGTCACAGGTCAGTGTGACCCAATTACAACCCAGTGCTGATCGTGACATGTTCAAGATTAAAGCAATGCATGTAGAGATATGTGATCAGGATGACGTATTCGGACAGGGCGCCTTCTGAGAGCCAATCAGATCATCTTTAACTGGGACCGGCTGGCATCCTGGATCAACCTGACCGAGGAGTGGCCATACCGGACATCTTGGATCATCCTGTTCCTGGAGGAAACTGATGGAGTGACAGACCTTGTCACACTCAAGACCATCTATGAGAGGTCAGCTGACACATGACCATGATACACAGCTCCTGTTCACACACACACTTAATACACAAATAGACTTCATTAAACATGCACACATAGACATCACCTATAACTGCACGTTGACTATGCTTAAATATAATAACTTTAGTTAGTTAATTAGTTAGTTAGTTTCCTGCTACTGTTTAGATTATTAATTCCTGTTTAATTATTACTTTAGTTAGGTTTTAGCTATTTAATTACAATATTTAGTCATTTTTTTCCTATTTAATTGTTATTTACTTCTTAATATACTAATTTAATTACATATTTTAGTTAGTTGTCTTGTTTATGGAGTTTTTTTTTTGTTTCCCTTTCCTTGCATTCTAATATTAGTTAGTTTATACTTAGTTTTTAAATTTTAGAATTTTAGAAGAACAAACTTTTTCATTTTTTTTGTTGATGTCTCATCCTTTCCTTTCTTTTTTGTTCATTCTTTTTTTTTGCTTTTCTTTTTTTCTTTTCTTTTTTAGTTCTTAAATTCTTTATTTAATGTTCGATTTGTATATTTGTAATCCATAATTTGTAATTCCATATTTTTAGTCAGTTAATTAGATTTTTTGTTTAGTTTTGTTTTAATTTCATTCAATATAAACTTAATTCCAATATATTTTATTTAATTTCATTGTTCATTGATTATTATTATATTAATATTATTACTACTACTATATATATAGATAGATAGAACAAACAACAAAAATTGCTATGATTATTATTAATATTAATACTAATAAAAACAACAATAATATTGTATATATACAATATATATTAACAATATATAATTCACACACACACACACACACACACACACACACACACACACACACACACACATATATATATATATATATATATATATATTTTTTTTTTTACAATCTATCTTTTGGGAAGTAATAAAAAACATGACAATATTCACAATCATAATTTGACAAGCACAATCATATTTACATCTTTGTTTTCAATTTGGAGGAAAAACAAAGATAAAAAAACAAAAAACAAAAAACATACAGACCTAAAAAGAGGATAAAAAAGAAATAAAAAAATAAAAAAGGGAAAGGCACAAGTTGTTTTAAGACGTTTTTTACTATTTCTGCTGAGAATTTTGGTAAAAATCTGCGGATTTCTGCGGAATGATTTTGGGAGTATCAAAACTAAAACCTTAATTTGTAAAATAAATATATATATATATATTTTTAACATTTATTTAATGTTTAAAATGCAAATCAAGTTAGATCCACTTTATTTGGTAAACAAAGCAAATCTCATATAATATATCTACTAAAAGACAGAAAATATTACTGTACAAACTGCATTGTACACAAATTAGATGAAAATTTCATATTAGTCAATATTATTACTGTAATTAATTTAAAAACTGAACAAATAGAAATTAACACACATTTACTCAAGTAAGTAAACAGAATAAATGATGGGTTAAAAATCTGCGGAAATCTGTGAAAAATCTGCAGGAAATCTGCGCGTGAAGTTTCCGTGTGGGCCTAGTTATGCTATATATATTTTTGATAATTTTGTTGAAGCAGACTGTTTCCTCTCATCTCCCCCAACAACACAAATTGCTATGTACAGTGTACAATGGCTCAATGTAATAATGCCTGTAACCTGCAGGTGGCAGTAAGAAATCTCAAATCCCTCCATTTCCTCTGTGCACCGCAGCACAATTACTACAAATCAGGGTGCCTCATTGGTCAAGATGTACCATGAAATATGTCAAGCTTTGATCTTGCCTTCCAGCCACTTACAGCAGGATTTATATATATATGAAGATCAAAACAAAATCATGATGCTCAGCCTCTGCCTGACTAACAGACTGTCACTCTTTAATAATTATCTTATTTGCATGCTGTCGTCAAACATGCAACACACAATCACAGTTACATCTGCTGCATCCTCTCAAGAGGCTTGAGGCGTGTGTGTGTGTGTGTGTGTGTGTGTGTGTGTGTGTGTGTGTGTGTGTGTGTGTGTGTGTAGAGGCCGTTAGTATTGCTGATGCTCAGTGTTTGGCCTTTAAAGGTTGCTCTGTCACACTACACTAACATGCTGTGACTCCTGAGGCTGAAGAAGTGTCAGAGCCTCTCAGTGTCAGCATCTGCTCTCACCGCTCTTTCTGATGCCCTTTAGTGCTTCATCTCACCCGTTTTCCCCCTCTTTCATACCACAAAATACCCCTTCTTTTCCTCTTGTCCACACTAGCACTGCATTTCGGAGAAGTAGGCGGCAGTGTGACTTGTTAAAGCCGAGGCCTCATATGTTGACGAGTTTTCTGGTACAGATGTCACACAGATAAGAAACTGTCAAACCGACTGGTGTTTCTCTTTTCTCTCTCTCTCTGGAGGTCACATGGCCACACATTTGTTGGCTTTTTATAGAGATGAGGGTGAGTCACAGCGGCCAGAGTGAATGTATGTCTGCCTAATGTCCGTTTCTGCATTTGTTTCTTATTTAGGTTTACAAAGATTAAGGCCTGTTCATTTATGATGGCTATACTAGGGATCACATATGTGGCCAAATTTGAACATTTGCTGTTTGTTTACTTATCCCTTAGGCCATGCAAGATACAGTGCTCAGCATATATAAGTACACCCCTTACAAATCTATCTTTTAAATTCACATTTTAATAGGAAACTACACAATATTATATTTGTGCATATTTATTAGATTAGTCAGTACTGAAGCCAAATCTGGAGCATATCTAAAAAAATAACTTACGATAATGGTCCAAAAACTAATACACCTAAATTTATATGTTATAGAAAAATATTAAATACAAATTTAAAAAAGAGGAAATATTTAGCTTGAATTTAATGGTATTATCTTTCAATTTCTAAATATGTTTGGTGACTAAAACTTTTTTTTTAAATACATATATTTGTTTAATAAATGTGTCTTGTTTAAATGCACCAAAATGCATTGTCTATTCACTGAGAAATTAATAAAAATATTCATTTTCAAAACGGGAAGTACTCAGTTACACATTGGCACTGTATGTGTCTTTATTTTGTTTCTTCAGTAGAATATTATAACATGTTTTTTTTCAGCTGGAACATATGATATTTGATTATTTTTACACTTAAAACTAATTTAAAATGAGCTGAAGCAACACCATTTTAAGTTGTTTTGGGACAACCTAATTGTTTTATGTTCAATTCACTTAAATGTTTTAAAACAATTACATTAATTTCGGAATAATGCAGAACCCAGCATTTTTACAGTCTGTAATGAATAATATGCTGTAAAACCCAAAAAGTCAAGGTAACTCAAACCATTTGAGTTAACCAATTGCAACAAACTATTTAAGTTCAAAAACTAATCCTAATGAGTACTGTGAACTTACTGCATTTGATTAAATGAAGCAATTTGAGCACAGTAAAACCCAAATAATGAAAATAACTCAAACCAACTAAGTATTGTAAAACCCAATAAGGCAACTCAAACCATTTGAGGAATCCGATTGCTACAAATCATTTGAGTTAAAATACTAATCTCTTTGGGTACTGTGAACTTACTCCAATTAAGTTGAAGTAATGAGGTATTATATTAACTCATTACCTTCGACACTGAGCTCAAAACTCTTTTCAAATGAGTAGAATTAACTTTCAGTCAATTTTGAGTTAATTACACTAATTTTATTGATAAAGTTGACTGATGAGTTTTACATTGTAAGGATGCTCCAATCAGGATTTTTGCAGCCGATACAGAGTACCGATTCCTTGTCACTGTGATCGGCCGATACAGAGTACCGATTCCGATGCTTCAAGCTTTATATAACTTTGCCATTTCGTAAAGCACACTTTGCCTCTAATCATGACACTTAAGTGGAGAGAATAAATTAAGGATGTTGCATATAATCTCTTAAACACGTCTCTTATTTAATGTGGACATGTCATGTTCAGAACCTGCTTTACAGAAAAAAGAAAAAAAAAAACAGATTAAAAACAAATGGTGAGGAAAAATTACTAACAATGCAATTTGAAAGTATTGCAAATGCTGGAAGAATAATTCAACATGTCTTAATGAAAAAAAAGTTTGGAGCATATATTTGATGCATGAGAAGTTAAAATGCACATCTATAAATCTATGTAAAACTAGGTAAACAAGCACTTGCGATCATGAGATCGGCCAGATTGGTGAGTACCAATCGAGCCATGTAATGTGATTATCAGCTGATACCAATCTTCGGCCGATCAATCTGAGCATCCCTAATAAATAGTTTATAAAAAATGCAAGTCAATGGCAAGCTTCAGCTACCAGCAGGGTTGGGCAAAAGAAATACATTAAAATGTGCTTTAAATTGAAATATCAAATATTTTAGTGTATCAAAATAAACTACAAAGCACAGCAGCTGCATTATGTATTTTGCAGTGTTTTAAAACTACAAAAATGAAGTATTTTGAAATAATAAGCCAATTCATCAACCCTATCAAATGGAAATGACAAAATACTATTTTAAATTTGAAATTAGGGATGCACTGATATAGATTTTTTTTTGTCCGATATCGATAACCGATAACTCTATAAATATTTCAAAATGTTATATTTTTATACAGTGAACAACTGATTTTATTTTAGAAACTTCATAAAAACTTGAACTGATCTTATGAACTGAACAGCCTTATCAAAGCATGCAAGACAGCGATAATAAATTATTTTATTTTATTCACATAGCAAATTAACATTCATCTTGACAAAACAAAAGAATAGGTCAAATAACAAAATGGTATTTAATTATTAAAAAAGTTAAATAAATATATTTTACTAAAATAAATATATTTTGGTCAAGACTGGCAGTTCTGTACAATTGCGTAATCTATCAGTTTAAAGATATCGGCCTAATTTTGACATCGGACCGATAATGATAACATTAAAAATAGCATTTATTGGTCGATAACAATATAGCCACCGATATAATGTGCATCCCTATTTGAAATTCATGTATCATAAATACTGCCCATTCATGG